TCCCTTTAGGAAACTTTGTCTTCTTAAAAGATGTTTCCATGAGCTCACATTCTCATCCGAAGAATATAAAATAACATGCTTAATACTGTACACAATGTATTCTCCCATTTTCTTTATTAAGGTACTGAGTGGACGCAACGGGTGGTTGTGGGTATATAAAGATGGCCACAGGCCGGGTGTGGTGGCTCACGCCTGTAATCCCAGCACTTTGGGAGGCTGAGGCAGGCGGATCCCCTGAGGTCGGGAGTCTGAGACCAGCCTGACCCACATGGAGAAACTCCGTCTCTACTAAAAATACAAAATTAGCCGGGTGTGGTAGTGCATGCCTGTAATCCCAGCTGCTGAGGCAGGAGAATTACTTGAACCCGGGGGGGCAGAGCTTGCAGTGAGCCAAGATCGTGCCATTGCACTCCAGCCTGGGCAAAAAAAAAAAAAAAAAAGGCCACAAATCTTTTCATACATTCGCTTCTGCTTGATAGCTTTGTTGGTGAACTTAGGTGAAAACTGTGATTATAAAAACCTTAGCCTCAAAAACCAATGATGCTAAAATATATTTTCTAATAAAACTAAAATTTTTTTGCAATGTAGTTAATATCTAAAAAGAGCATACCACGATTATCTCAGCTATTTACTTTGGGCAGATAATCTTTCTAAATACACATAAACCATCAGAAATTTTAGTATATGTTAGTTTCTCACTTCTATGCTTTATCTCCTTTAAAGATTAGCCTCCTAGAGGTATATAGGAGTGGATTATGTCTTTTTCTTTTTAAAAAACACTTTTACCCACTTAAAAAGCTCCTTTCTTCTGTCTCAGTTTTCCCCTTTATCTTTTCTTGCTCTTTCTCCAGGTGCTTTCTTTCTTACTTTAACTTCCTGATATGCCTCTCTGTCATTAATCTTTATTTCATTTTTTTCTGTCATGGAGATTGGTAACAATAGTACTAGCAGTGGGCCGGGTGCGGTGGCTCATGCCTGTAATCCCAGCACTTTTGGAAGCCAAGGCAGGAGGATCACTTGAGCCCAGGAGTTTGAGGACAGCCTGGACAACACAGAGAGACCCCATCTCTACAAAAAATAAAAAATTAGCCTGGTGATTACCTGTGGTCCCAGCTGCTCAGGAGGCTGAGGTGGGAGGATCATTTGAGCCCAGGTGGTCTGGGCTCAGGAGGCTGGAGTGAGCCATGATCATGCCACTGGACTCCAGCCTGGGCAACAGAGTGAGATGCACTCGCAAAAACAAAGCAGAAAACAGTAGCAATGCTGAGTCCTGGGTCAGGATTCTGGCTAGGCTAGCATTAGTAGGGAGGAGAGATGAAAGTGACTATACAGCTTGGATGATTTATTGTTTTTGAGTTGCGTTAATGGGAGGCATCAAAGAAACAACTTATTTTATTCAGTTTAATATGTCCTCATAAAGGGCATCCTAATTTTATATGACATGAGAGAGGGCATATCTCTCTGATCCTTTCCCAGTGGGCATGTCAATGAAATAGAGATGTATAAACATTTGACAGACAGCGCTTTGTTACTACAGGGTCTGCTTGAGTTGTAGGGCATTATGGTGGTTCCAATATCACTTATGATGCTGTAGCAGATGAACATTGATTTCTTGTGATCGTGATGATATTGGTTTCCTTTGCTCTTGTAACAAATTATCACAAATTAGTGGTTTAAAACAACACAAACTTATTAATTATAGTTCTGATAGCCAGAGGTCTTAAAATCAAGGTGTTGGCAGGGCTGTGTTCTTTCTGTAGGATCTAGGGGAGAACTTGTTCATTATCTTTTGCAGCTTCTGGAAGTTGCTTATATTCCTTGATTTGTGACCCCCTTCCATCTTCTACGCCAGTATTCACATCACTCTCACCTCTGCTTTTATTGTTACATTGCCTCTCACTCTGAGACCCTGCCTTTCCCTTAGAAGGACCCTTGTGCTACACTGGGCCCACCCACATAATTGAAGAAAATCTCCCCACCTCAAGATCTTTAACTGAATCATATCTGCCAATCTGTTTTTGCATGCAAGGTAGCACATTCACTGTTTTGGAGATTAGGACATGGACATGTTTGGGTGTCCATTATTCTTCCCACTGCATACCTGTCCTATAGCCCGCTGTTTGCATTTTACTATTAATACTATTGATATTAGTCAGGCAAATTGGAGTCAGCTGGACTATAGCATTTTTAGTGCTCTTTTTATTTTTTTGAAGCCTCCACATTGGAACCAAAATAACAACTGTGCTTTGATGAATACACAGAACAACATGCGTTCAAACCCTCAGAGCTTTGTTGATCCACACGTTCTCTGTGCTTGATGCAGAGAATCTACTAGGTTTTGAAATCTTAGCACTAATGGCTGGTATATTTCTGAGGTATTGTGCCCACCAAAGACATAAAGCAAATCTAATCCTTTGGATAAAGATCTCAAAGCCACAAAATTCCAACTCTATCTCTCTACTAAGATCTAATAGTGCTGAGGGCTTGCAAGAGTTGTTAATGTACCTTCTCATGGCCAATTTACACAAAGCATGCTATAAGAACATTGCATCATCCAAATTAAATGTGTAACCTACTGTAGGCATCAGTCAAGACAGAAAATGGCTTTTCTAATGAAATTTTAAGAGCGGTGTGTTGTCCAAAAGAAAAAGCTCTTTATTCTCATTGTTTCCACACTTCAGAGAAGTTGATGTGGAGAGTCTGAGAGGAAGAATGAGCAATGAGGCTGTTGAGATGGTAGACAAGGGGGTTTGTTGTGGGGGTTGAAAGATGTAAGGTCTTTGTCCTAAGGACAACGGGAAGTATTGAAGGACTCTAAATAGATGAGGAGAGGAGGGCAAGGGAGAAGTCAGGGCCGGCTACTGGGTATTTTGGCTTGGGGAGACTGGATGGATGGCAACTCCATTGGCTGAGATGGGAAACAAGAAAGCAGAGTAGAGTTTGGAGGTAAGCTGCAGGTTAAATTGGAAATGAGAGTGAGACATCCAAATGGAGATGGCAAAGAGGCAACTGGCTACATGGATCTGAGGTTCAGGAGAGAGGTTTGGGCTTTCGATATGAATTTATGACTCATCAGTGTAATGATGGCCACTGGGAACTCTACTGGAGAGAGTATACAGAAAAGAGAAGATGGACTAGACAGAGGCCCAGGGAGCACCAACTTTCAGAGAAATGACAGGAAAAGCCTGCAGAGGAGACTAAGGAATAGTTAGAGGTTACGGAAAGAGTTGGTACATTAAAACATTTGTACCCATTATTTGGGTCATTATTGGAAACATGTTTAATCACAATTAAATGTGACTTGAAATTTATCTCTTTAAAATTTACTTAAAAATTTTATTTATATTTAAAAGAGGAACAGTAATTCCTCACGTCGCAGGGTTATGAGGTTCAAAAAAGTATTTGAAAATATTTTGGAAAGTATTATACCAGTGGTTCTCAAACTTTAGTAGTATATATCAAAATCATTTGGAGGGCTTGTTAAAACACATTGCTGTTCTTTTTTTTTCAGTAGTGGTAGTAGCTAGCGTTTCTGATTCAGATCTGTGGTAGGAACCTAGAATTTAAATGTTGGCTAAGTTCTCAGGTGATGCTGATGTTATTGGTCTAGGACCATCCTTTGAGAACCACTGTGTAATATAAATGAATTATGGTTTTCACTTTATAGCAAAATTCATTGAGTTTTCCTCCAATGTTAGTCTCTTTCTTCCTCTAATGCTGTTATTTCCTTACCTTGCTTCATACCAAGCAATATCCGTTTACACGTGTGAAAGACCAACTAAGTGTAAGTATTTTGTTGATTACAGTCAACAACGTTACAACAAGCAACGACCTCAGGTTAGCTTGATCAAGGAGAATAGGAAAAATATATGTTTTTTTTTGTTTTTTTTTTGTTTTTTTTTTATAGGGAGATAAGAAGGAACTCTTTGGAATAAGAGGTGGGATTTCTGTTTTCCCCAAAGTCAATTAGATGTCAAATGCTACTTGTTACCAACTTTCCAAAATCCCATTAGAGACCCTGTAATTTGTTCCAGCGGGAACAGCATGAGGAGAGTCAGGTAAGAGGAAAAACTGACTTCATTCTTCATTCCTTTCCTAAATCCTGAGAAATGCGTATACTTCAACACTCCCTTTTACAATCCCGCAAACCAGGGAATCAGGAAAACACATTAGCATCCTAGTACAGACTAGGAATACAGAGCTGGGAGGAGACTCTGCCGTCAAGACAAGGAAACTGGGGGAGGGGAGAGAAAACTTCCCCTCGTTGGAGAATCTGCGGGCGGCATTGGGAAGAGAAGGGAAGTGGGGAAATGTACCTCAGACGTCCGCCAGACACTTTGCCTCCGGGCATGTGGGAAAGTGAGGGAGGAGGGAAAAACGCTGCACCAGAGCGAGACAGCAAGAGCTCCTGCGGCTGCTTTTGAGTGAAGATCGGGAGAGATAGAGCGTTCTGCTTCACATCTTCCTCCCGGAGGCCATTTCTCCATTTTTAAGTGGGATAAAGAGGGGGCGCTGGACTGAGTCAGTATAAGCCAAAGTTGCCGCCTCTTGCGCAGCAGACCCCGCTTCGGCCCCTGGCCCAGGCCAGAGAGGTGGCCTTCGGGGACGCTGAAGTTACTCTGCGCAGGGGGAGGGGTCGCCAGGCTCCTCTCCAATCACGGTGGCCGCTCCAGCTATTTGCATGCATTATGCTAATAACAGACCTCCTGCCCCGCTCCCACCCAAGCTTCCCGCCCCCCTGGGGGGTTCCCTGGGCCGGCCCGCGGGCTGGGCCAAGGTGAATACATTATGATAATAAGGCGGGCTCCTGCTTTGGCTTCGGAAGGGGGGCGCGCAGCAGCGGCAGCAGCGGGAGCCGCGGGCCGGACGCCGGGCGCCGGGAGGGGGTCGGGGGAGGGACGTCGTGCTCGGAGCGCGCGCGCACTCACACTCACACACACACACTCACACGAGCATCCCGAAGGGTATTTAAGGATCGCGCACGCGGGGTTGCGGAGATCCTTCGGGCAGCCGCGACTTCGGCTTCGCGACTAGCATTGGCTCCTTGGGTTTATTTGGTTTTCCTCTCTTCTCCCCCTTAGCCGCCCCTTTCGTGCTGCGCTCTAGCGTGCTCTCCCAGCCTTTTTGCCTTGAACTGAATGCAGGTGGGAAACAGGTCGGCGTGCTGAAAGACACCGAGTAGGTAGAAATAAGGCAAACTCACAGAGGCGCAACAGGTTCGGTCCTCCGTGGCCAGGGCGAGCCGCGGCCCCGCGCCGTGCCTCGGTAGCCGTCCCTCGGACCCTGAGCGACCGCTGTCGGGGACCTCGGAAGAGGTGTCTGTCCTCTGGGAGTCGGAAGAGCTGTCTGGGTGGGCTTCGTCTTGCTTTTTACCCCACCGCCACCCGGTCCCCGGTCTGAGGGTCCTTTTCACTTCCAGCTGGGAGGAGAGAAGAAAGCGGGGATAGTGCACGCCTGCGGGTCTGGACGCTGAGCAAGGCAGGGGTCCATCTCCGCTCGCGGGCTTGACTCCACCAGCTAGTTGTGCAACCACAGGGACTGAACTTTGGAGGAATCGACCTTTTTCTTTCCTTTTAGGATTATTTAAGGTGTAGAGGGTGGGAAGCGAAGCCGAGACGGCCGACCCCGCCACGATGCTGCTGAAGAAGCACGCAGGAAAAGGAGGGGCCCGGGAGCCCGGATCCGAGGACTCTAGCCCTGCCGAGCAGCATTGTGCCCGGACCATGTCACCGTGCGCCTTCCTGGCGGCTCTTCTGTCAGTGGTGGCCGTGGTGTCTTGCCTGTACCTGGGTGTGAAAACCAACAACCTCCAGGCGAGGATCGCCGCTCTCGAATCCGCCAAAGGGGCCCCTTCCATTCATCTGCTGCCTGATACCCTGGATCAGCTCAAGGCTATGGTGCAAGAGAAAGTGGAGCGACTTCTGGCTCAGGTGTGAGAGGCTGGGGTATTTTGCGTCTTGTACAAGCGTGACTCTGTGTGCATGACTAGCCGCTACCCTTACTGTACGCAAACTTGGTGTGGCTGTGTGTGTGCGTGCGCGTGCGTGTGTTAGGCAAGGATCTATGCTCACTGTAGCATATATTTATATGTGCACATCCCTTGATATCCCCATCCCTATTTCTAATCTTCCCTCACTCTCTCTTAATGTTTGCATGTTAAACATGTAGGAAGTTCTGAAAGGGGGAAAGGGCATTTTACCTCTTTTTAGTTATCCTAAGTCACATGTGAGGCTTTCCCAATTGTGGAGAGAATATTTCTTGCAGAAATAGCATCTGTTAAATCTTTTACATGTTATAAGATGGTTACGGTCATAGATATTAATATACAAAAAAGGTAATCACTCTTAAATGTAAAATAATCTCATGTATAATGTAAAGTCAATAATTTCACACCTTCAATCTTTTCATATTAAAAGTTTAAACGTTTTTTTAAAAGTAGCTTTATTTTTGGTAAAGGTTGCAGTGCCGGAGTATTTATGAATGCAGAGCCCTTGGAGTTGAGAGTTGAAAGGAATCTATGCTATGTTTAAGGGCAACTTTAGACTAGAGTAAGGGGGTTTTCTGGAAGCTTACCCTAGCGGGGAGCCTATTTGGCAGTGGTTGCAGCCTAGCATGATAAAGCAGTTGACCTTCATGTATAAAATATTGGCTGTTATTGGTAAGCCACAGCTTACCTAGTACTGCAACATTTTAGTGCTAGGTTTTTACATTGACTGCATGAGAGAGTGGTGATAGGGAAGAATGGAGAAAGATGTTACACAAGTCCAGCAATGTTGATACCCTATCAGTGGTCATTGTCTTTTTTTAGGGCTTAGGCATGGTTACTTTCTTGACTAGAGTCCAAGTACTTATGTAAATGTTAATTATGCAGGTTATGAAATGCCGGTAAATCAGGCTTATGGCCAGAGTTCCTGAAGACTCCATGTCTCTACAGTGCTACTGATGATTGTTAATAACTCTTCTTTTCCTACAGAAATCCTATGAACATATGGCTAAAATAAGAATCGCAAGAGAAGCACCTTCAGAATGTAACTGCCCAGCAGGTAAAATGGAACTTCTTTAACAAGGTTTCCTCCAGGGCAGAGCATTTTAAGACAAAGGTCCTGTGTCTGTCAAGTCTACCTGTAATAATAGTAAAGAAAGAATGCAGACTGCAACTTGCTTTAATAAAATCAACATGTCTCATTCAGAAGAATGGAAAATAAAGCCCCAAATATTATTTTAAGCAGCATACCAAGGCCTGTTGTGGGAAAGCAAAGGAGATAGAGATAATCACCAAAGAAAATATAGGCAAGGTGATGTACAAAAACAAACATCTTAGATTCACAAACTGAAAAATATTCTTCAATTAAATTGTCTTAATGTCGACAGTGAAAAGGACTGTAGAACTGTTAGATTCTGAATTCCTGGCTTGCTCATATTGCGTTAGTGCAGATTTTTTTTTTTTTTTTTTTGTTAGTAAACCACCTTCACTTCCTTTCCTGCTGTTTCTATTCTATTAAAAAGATTCCATCTCCTATTCTATAGCTAGAGATGATGACTGAAAGAAAATCAGTTCTTTATCTTGAGCTTCCCATTACAAACTCTTGCATTCTCAATGACTTTTGAAGAAGAGGCTCTTATACTTTTACCTTTTTTTTCTGTGTAGCTTCAGGGAACTATATTAAAGACAGCATATTAGTAGAAGGACAGGGAAGAAGGACATCATGAATAAGACCCCCTGGGTAATCATTAAGTCTTCCTTCATGTACCTTTGAGGGCTTGGTAGTTATCTCAGACCTGACAATTTAGAAGCCCTTGGAATATGGCCATTGGAAACATCTAGTGGATTCAACTCATATAAGTCATGGAAAACTCCCATGAGTTGAGATGTTTATTTCAGATAAACATTGTTAACACATTTATGAATATGATAGTTTCTTTTATCATCACTCATGGAAAGTGAGTCTCTTAAAATTTCTTTAGTATTAAGGAACATGATACTTAGGTACTTATATATGAAAAGGCAAGTTCTTGTTTTTTTTCATATTCTGAAACCTTTTCCCCCTCATGATAACTTGTTTTGGCACAGCTAAACAAGGCACCACATTTAGAAATTTTAAATGTCAACTCCAGGTTGTACATTATACAAATTTTACTATTTATATTCTGTTAAATTTTTGAACATAAGAGAGTTATATTTTTTAAACGAAGCCCTTTTGAGTGAGAAGACATATACGTTAGGTACCAGAAAAACAAAGAGTTAACCTTTGACAGTGTAGGTCTCATTCTTAGTTGTTTTAAGTTGGAAAATATCTCAGAAGTCAAATATTCAAGGAAGGCACTTTTCTAGTGCGGGAATTAACTCACAACCACCTCATCAGCCTGTAGGGATTATTTAAATTCCCAGGACAGTTGGTACAGAACTTCACTGATCATACCACTTAGAGTCCAGTATTTTTTCGTATACGGTATTCTTACTAGCTCTGTGAACAATAGCTAGTGCTTAATTAATATGATTCTTAATGAACTTAGTAAAAATAGAAAAATGACAACCACAGCATTGAGTTCTATTTTTTGAGAAGATATAATTGTTTCAGGATGTTTAATGTAGGCTAGCTACAAAGTCTAACTTGTAATCTAAAAGAAATCTATTACATTTAAAATTTACTGTATATTATCTTGGATTATTTTGGACCATTTTTTCATCTTAGCATGTTAATGTAATAATAAATGGAGATTTCCTAGGCTTTTTTGTTGGCTCCCACTAATAGCTGCTTTACCTCTTGCCACCACTAGAGCTCCACATTACATCAATTTTTACCTGGCAACTTTCGAGGTAAACATTTGAAGATGTGCATTCTAATATGCAGAATCAAGCAGGTTTCTTGCTGACAAACTGCTGTGATGGAAACACTAACTTTGGCTTGAGAAATAATCAGACATCATCAAAATAAGGACATTATGTTGAAAATAATATCCTGGGGAAAACTCGTTATTTCGAATTATGGTCTGTGAAGAATTGTTTTAGGGAATGAATGGGCTGACCAAGAGGATTAGAAAAGAGATTCAGCACTTCCACCTGGTTTGGCTCTAACCCTGGTTTGCAGTGACTAAGAGATGTCACCTAGACATCTGTTTGTAGGGCAGAGTGAGACAAGTCTGTGACCTCAGCTCAGTTCCTGTGGACAGATGCCTACCCCTTGAAGTTGACACTCTTGTTGACAGTTTCAGTCACAGAGCCAAGGACTGATAGCAAAGAAGCAATGCTGTGTTGTTTGCGTTCACTCTAATTGCTCTTGATAGAACTCAATCCCAGTGAGGTTTATTCAGGTAGGCTCTAAGGTAATCATAGAATTTATAGATATATTTTTATGCACAAGAAGGAACCTCTGTGAGGGAGAGATGAAAAAGACAGTTTTTAAAAAATGGCTTCTAATGGCAGGGGATGTACTCTCTAATTTAATTTTCACAAGGACCCTGAGTTAAGTATTAGTAATCTCATTTTACAGATGAGGAAACTGAGATTCAGAGAAGATGATTAATTTAACATAGTAAAGGCAAGGTCAGGATTCATGCCCACATCTGATAGAACCAAAAGCCCAGTCTACCAAGGAATAGAGAATAAGTATAGGTTTTGAACCTGGATGATTCTGGATTGGAATCTTGGATCTGGTACTAAATAACTGTGTGACATTGGTAAAACTAATGAGCTTTCCTATGTTCTAATTTCCTTATCTCCAAAAAAAAAAAAAAAAAAAAAGGGAAAAAAAGACTAATAATACCTTCAGCGTTTACCTAAATAGTCTGGCATATTAGTGGCTATCCATTAGACAATAGCAATTACTATTCTTTTTAGTATATTATATGCTACTTAGCTCTACTGTGATCTACAGAGACATAAGAAATAGGTGGGAAAACTGAGACCTGGAGATATTGTACAATTTGCTAAAAACCCAGTGGCTAACTAATGGCAGGTTTGGACTAGAACACTATACTTAATTAAATAAATATATCTGTAGATTATTCATGCAGATAACCATACTGGTCAGTATTTCTTGGTGCTATATAAATATTGGTTCTTTTTTGATATTTATATAAGTCTCCTAAATTATTCTTACAAAAATTGCAGGGAAAACTTTTGACCTTTTAGGTAAACCATGGTTGAAGTGGATAGGACCTGGGCTTAAAAGACCATGGGGATATTAAAGAATATCTTTACAGTTCTAATACCAGATGTTTACAAAAAGAAATAGCTTAATTGTGTGACTCCTTTTCATTTTTTAACAGCCTATTGCAGTAAAATTTATAATATTTACCTATTTTAAGATTTTAAAAACAGATTTATAGAGTTGGGCAGCCATCACCACAATCCCGTTTTAGATCATCTTGTCACCCTGGGAAACTTGCATTTATTTCTTTCATGCACTCAGAAAAACTCTATTTTAAAAAATATTTGGTTTAAAGAAACCCAAAATAATTTAAAAAATAATAATTTTTAAATTTCCATACAAATTGAAGCTTTATTTAGCAGAATATTTGTTTTAGCAGTAGCCGAACCAGAGAAATTCAGCTGGAATCTGTGGCTTGGCCTCTGTAAAATTCAACTCTAATTGGAGAGAATAAGTTGGCTCTTTGCTATGGCTGTAGAATTTAGTTTTGGGTTCTGTTCTTGGAATCTTACATAAAGTATGCATAAACCAGGCATATCTATGAGAAGGTTTTTATGTTCCAGCTGATGAAGAACACTGGGAGCCAGGCAGCCAACCAAAAGATGTGTAGATCACAAAGCTTTCCGTATCTTACTCATCAGTAGTGTTGCCTGCCCAGGATGTTAGGTATAAGAACCTCTTTGGTGTAGTGGAGGAAGAATGAGGATGCGGAATAAAGAATCCAAAGTTCCAATCCTGGCTTTGTCATTAACTTGTTATGTAATTTTCGGAAGTCATTTCCAAGAACACCTCTTACAGTTTCTATTTTCATATCTCCAAAATAGGAGTGCTGCACAAGAATGATTTTGAAGGGCATTTGTCAGTTCTTCAGGTTAAATGAAAAGGCTGCTGTATGCCAAATACTGTACTAGACATTGGGAAAATGTTGGTGTACAAGGCAGACTTGGTATCTTCCCTCATGAAGCTTACATTTTGATGAGGATGACAGACAATTCTTTAAAAATGACATGAATATACAGGTATGACAAGTGCAACCAAGAAAAAGTATAGTGGGCTTTGGGGCAGATGACTAAAATCTCTTCCATTTTTGTAAACCCAAAGATTTTATTTTTCTTTTCTCTGGGGAAAATAGAGAAAAAAGTATAATTCTCTTCTAGAAGTTCACAATAGGAGAAAATCTGGTTTCTGATGAAAATAAAAGCTCTAGCAATGGATAAAAAGCTGATTTGCCTTTTAGCTCTCCAAGAATTTATGAACAGATAGAGGTGTACTGATACCTGGTATACTTACCCCATGTGAAACAAAAAAGTCACTTTTAATATGTAAAGGGTTGTTGTAGACAGGAGGAGGATGGCTTATTCTTCTACTTTTCTCCTGAAAATAGGGAGAGTTAGGTTGAGTAAGGAGAGAAACTTCATGTCTGGCTTACTGAACAGTACCACTGGACCTGGCTCCTGTACATTCGTGATAATCATTCCATGTAATACAGCTAGTCATTTGCTTAGAGAATTTAACTAGACATAAAAAACATACGGTAGATAACTTCTGAGGTCTCTCTGTACACTCCAAGTCCATAAAAATGATGGTGTACAAAATAAGAATACAGGTAGGCAAGCAATTCACATAGGCAAGCAAGATTCATAAATGCAAACAATATTGCCCCTGGTGACTGACCTCGTTGTCTGTGTTCTCAGTTTTGGGTGGAAATAAATGTTAACTGTAGCTTGATGGTTGTGTACTCTTTCCCATTGTATAAGAAGAACCTTTAAATTACCTTTCTAACATAAATTTACTTTCTCACATAAAACTTGTGTTTCTTACTATACATGGTTTTTCACTTAGGCTGTATGTTTTTATCCTAACACGCTGCACTGTGAATGGAAAGAGTGCAT